TTTTTTTTGATTAAAAGTTTTTCGTTCTGTTGGGTTTTTTTTCTTTGCATGAAAATTGTTCATGTTGTTCGCTTATTGTAAGAGTGATTTTTTTGTTGATAAAAAGTTTTGTCGGACGTTGCTTCACATATGTTATATTGTTGTTACGACATCAAATATCTTGTTTATTGTTTTCTAAAAAATATATTTTGTCAATATCTTGTTTATTGTTTTACAAAAAAATGTATTATACTTTTCGTACAACTGGCGGTTTATTTTTACTAGTGCAGTATGCACGGGCTAGTTTTATTGAGGTTAACATTTATATTGAGATGGCTGGAAAAACGTAAAACGCACATATTGGAATAAATAAAATATAACTTTTATATTATTAAACACATCTTTGTAAGCAATATTATTTGTTTGGTCTTTTGGTACATCGTCTATCACCACAAATTATATTAACATTCGAGATAGGCTTAAATAAATCAATTAATTATTGAGCAGGATATATATGATATTTTGTAAGTGTATGCAATCATTATTTATTTTGTAAGTATGCAATCAATTTCAAATTTGTATTCTAGAGAATTAAACAAAACTCAAATTTTTAGGATATTCCAAACCGATTTAATTTTGAATTGCAAATCAATGTTCAATTCTGACTTTATTTTATGTTTACAAAAAATCAAACTAAAGAAAGTAATAGCTAAATGATAAGAGATTTTTAAATTTTAATTTTCAATATTTGAAATTGGGTCCAATTTTTATACAATCTGATTTTTTTAAGAAACATGATCTGTCGCAATTAGGTAAACATACATGTTATAGTATTTTACCTAATCGTAATTCCTGATTTTATGGTAAACATAATTTTTTTAATAAAAAATGAGAGAATTTTCACTTTTACAAAATTGTCATGCTGAATTTTACATAGTTTAACCTGATTTCTATGCACTCTAATTTTCTTAGTAAACAATTAATCTGCTGCAATTAGTAAAAGATATATGTTATAATATTTTGCCTAATTCGAAATTCCCGATTTTGTGGTAATCAGTTTTTTTTTTTTTTTTAAATAAAAGTGAGAAAGAATTTTGTCTTTTGCAAAAAAAATCAGTCGAAATTTTCCTAAATTAGATCCACAAAATTCATGAAATTTTGGGTGCATATATAGCTGATTGATTTTTTTTTTGGTAACTTAGCCATTCTTATATAGATTAGATGACTTTTGGACTTCGGAACGCACCAGCCAACATATAGCCTATGTACTTTTAAATTTTAATCAAAGCCAAAGCCCAAAATTGGTATTTAGTATATTAATCTTTACCTAAATTATATATTATAAACTTTTAGTTGTAAGCTATATCTAAATTACTATTGGTTATGGTAAACTATAAATAGGGTATTGATTATTGGTCTCTTATTTAGAGTACTATAATTATGCACTATAAAATTAATGATAAAATATATACAATTACATACAATACATATAAAATAAACAAAAATTTATATAATAATTACACGGTGCGACCACTGGTCTGACTAATAAACCATCGAATTGGTTATTAGTTAAGTTTGTAGCAACTTAGAATCTTAGATTGAAGTTTAAAAGATTTCATATCATATGGTACATCTCATTCATTTCTTATTGATATATAGTTCGATTCATAAAATCTCACAATTACTTAAAATAACTAGTAAAGTGCAGGTGCGATGCACGTGGTGTCGAATGATTTTCGCCTGGAGTAAGTTTGTAAAATAAATTAATTTATTAAACATATCATTGCATAAATGAAGTAAAATATAGAAAAAATGAACACATATGTGATTTTTTTTATTTACAATTAACATAATGATGTCCTCATATAAAAATAGTGAAATAACGTTTTACAAACTCCAACAAAAATATATATAAAAAAACAAATTCCTAATAAAAAAAATACAAAGATTTTCTTCATTTTAGTTTTAACGTTTTCATAAGAACATTCATAGTCGTTGGAGTCTAATA